CGTCGCCCGACCCGCGCCACGACCACCTCGTGCCCGTAGAGTTCGACGACGGTGACTCCGGCCGCATCGCGCTTGAGGACATACGCTTTCTCGAACCTAACTATCCCATTGTTGGTAAGTCTAAATTTATGTTTTGTTTCTGGTGCGATGTCCAGGGTTAACCAATAACTAGGATATCAGATTGATTTTATTGTCTTTGCTTTCAGAATACGAAAACACGTTATTCACACTCGGCAAGCGGAGAAGAAACACGAGTGTCACAGAAGATAAAAAGGCTGTTGTCCCATCGACTAGCACAGAAGTTAAAACTGAACCAGCACCCCAGCCGCAGACAGCCGCAGAACAGAAAACGGAAGAAGAGGATAGACATAGAGATAGGAAGAAACTTAAGAAACATCGAAAGGAAAAACTCAAACGTCTCCATTCCAGTGAAGATGATCCAAATTCTACAGAATACGTGAAAAAGAAAAAGAAGAAACACAAGTGTTGCGAGGAGCACTGCAAACACAGGAGACATCACAAGAAACATCACAGAAAACACAAGAAAAGACATCATTCTAGTTGCAAGGAACATTCGAGTTCGTCGGGTGATGATCACCACAGGAGGAAGTCTTCCACAGATTATGTCGATTCTATCAAGTCTAACGAGGACTCCGGAGACTCCAATGACAGGCTGTCCACTCTAATAGCGGTCGAAAAATCTCCAGACGATCAGATGAAGACAGTCATCAAGAAAGCTGTCTTGTCGAAGAAAACTCTTGTGAAGAACGCCATTTTGGACTTCAGCAATCTCGGAAGGATAACTCTAAAGAAAGACGAAGATGTTAAAGATAATCTTAAGGACAGTGGAATTGGACTGGAAGCGGATGCACCGTCAACTTCCATGGACACCCCAAAAAAGGTATTTTTTCCCACCTAATCATAATTGCCTTTTTTATTTGAAATTATGTTGTTTTTTTAAAAGGATTTTTTTAAATAATCCTTCGTGTCATATTTAAAAATGGGTGTACTGGGATTGCAGAAAACAAAGAAGCGCACCGTGTCAGCTACGTCGACGGACAGTGGCGCGGCGTGCTCGGCGGGCGCGGGTGGCGGGTGCGGAGCGGGGGTGAGCAAGATGGCTGCGTTCCTGCCGGGCGGCGCGCTGTGGCGCTGGCAGGGCCCCGCCTACCGCCGCACCGCGCGCCCCCGTCACCGCAAGCTCTTCTACCGCGCCATACAGCGCGGCGAGGAGACCCTTCACGTGAGTGCAACAGCTTCTACAGTCCTGGTAGCTTATCTTGGCACACTAGTCCCGTAAATAGCTCACAAAAAATGGGGCTCGTATTGTTATTGTCCATTGTCCATGATATTTTGTCTCCTTTACCGGATTTTTGTATAATCTATAAAATCTATATTCTTTTTTGAGTTTGTGGTGTTTTGCTGCAGGTGGGCGAGGCAGCAGTGTTCCTATCTACGGGACGCGCAGACCGGCCATACATCGGGCGCATTGTGGCGTTGTGGGAGGCGCGCGGCGCTATGGCCGTGCGCGTCAGGAGACTGTCGGCTGCCGCGGACCACTCAAGTATCCGGTAAGTTAGACTTCTAAGATTTTTCTTAATTTTTAAGAGTCTAAATGAGTGTTTTTCATCGTTCCTTTTGTTACATTGTCACATCATCATATCTGATTTTTACAATAGGCTATTTTCGCTTTGATTGTCGTATTTTTTTAAGTAACTTATGATGGTGTTTCTTTTTTTCCAGGGTGGTTTGTTCGAATCCCCACACACGGACGAGAACGATGTGCAGACTATATCGCATAAGTGTGAGGTGGTGCCGCTGGCGCAGTACCAGGCGCGCATGGCCGCGGAGGCGCGTGCTGCCGACGACAACAACGACCTCTACTACCTGGCAGGGCGATACGAGCCCACGCAACGCGCCCTCACCATGCAGCCTGATGTGCCCTTCGCCGACGACCCTGCGCCGTAGTCCTGTGAGGCTTATGCACGCCTGGTACATACTAGTGTCATAGTCTCAATCTTTATTGACGGGGTAGGCAGGTCATATAAAAATATGACAATTGTTTTGAAATTTTACTCATGGCAACTAAAATTGTGAGAAAGTAAATTGCACTCAGGAGATATTTATACATATTTTCTAACTTCAACAATGTTTATGTAGTTTTGTCAAATTAGGGTTTAGTTACATTTCGTAAGGGATTGTTTCGGTCCCTGAGAGATTACAATTTGTCCCACGTTTATATTTAAAAGAAGTACATTTAAGCGCTTAAGTATTTATATTCTATATTGAACTGAGAAAATGATTTTTCAAGCGATAATTTAGTTGGTATAAGATACACTTTTGTCTATAACAAACCATTAAAATATTGCAGTGGTTTTGACTGTTGAACCATTTGTCATGAAATGTGTCAAAACAAGTGTAACAACAGTCGAAACGCGTAACGTAGCATTCAGTTTATGGGACTTTTTTGACGTAGTGTTTGCAGTCGACTCTCGGTGTTAGGGTAGCGGTAGTCCCCTCTCCCCGTAGCCGTAAATATACAGGTTTATAAAGTACAATTGTAGATCGTGAGGCTCAATAGTACGACATTACACCAGTTGGGGCATGCGTTGCCCCAGATGGTATATAGAGTACATTGCCCCAGTTGGGGTGTAGTACATTAAGTTATAGTTACCCTTGTTACGTTATTGGGACGTTATTGCGGTTGTTGTTGGGCCGTTTTCCATTGGCGGTGTTTTCGATGTGTAGTTGTGATCGGGAAAGTTGATGATATGTGATTTATTTTTTTATAATCTAGTTCTTAATATCGGTACGTAATTGATTTAGTCTTTTTTTTGTATATTTTCTAACATTGTAACTAATTATTTCTAAATTGCAATACTATTTCTACTAGTCCGTTTAGTTTCAAAATTAACCAGTGTCAACGGGGCTTTTGGAGATGCAAATTATTTAGGGGCAAATGTTTTGTTATTGTTTTTTTTTCTTTGATTCTACTTATATTTTCGGTTGATAATTTTATGTTTGAGGTATACAATTTATGGAAATGGTGCTAGATTGGTTTATTTCGGCGTAGATAAGGATGTACATACACGAGGCCGGTGCACGTATGTTGCCATTTTTCTACTTTATTATTCTTCGTAGCGTATAATTTACAGGGTACTATGAACCCTGCTGGTAATGTTTTTCATATCAGGATGTAAATAAGGTACTGAAAAGACAGGGATGTAGGTAGGTGGAGAAAGGATAGGTAGGTTTTGTACGAGGCGTTGCCAAAATTGTTACGGAAACTGAAGGAAAAATCCCATAGTCGGTTGTTGCTGTTTGTAAAGTACACTCACCGACAGAAGTGAATAAAAAAATAACTTTTTTTTTATTACAAATAAAAGAAATTCAAAGAAATTGTTATATAGAGTGTAATAATAAATCTAGTATATAACAATAAAAGTTGTTAGTGAAGATTTTTTTGCCAGGAATCACTAAGTTTTGGTTTAAATAAACAATTTTGGAGCATTCGTTTACTTTTTTTTCATAGATTTATGTTCAAAAGTGCTTATAATATTCTGTCGCTGAGTGTACCCTGGTAGGAAGCATAGTAAGGTGACTTTATAAGTACATTTCTGTTGTGAATAGTTAACATCCGCAGTACTCTAACATTGTTTCCCTGCATTGTACTTTTTTGTTATCGATTTGCTTGATTAAGTTACATTAAGTTCTAGTTTTAAGATCTTTTTAATTTTATATACGAAAAAAATGATATCGAAAACTCTAGAAATCTTAAAATTATTGGATACAAGATGAAAAAAAAATTACACAAAATTTTCGGAATTATATTTAGAGTGGTATTTTTGTATTATTATAAAGTAGTGTTTATTTTGAAATATCTGAAGCGTTAAGTACAAAGTTTGTTTGTACGTATGGCGGGAATGTTGCACTCGAATGTCAAATAGCAACATTTGAAAGGAAGCCATAAAATAATTATTAGATTTAAAAAAAAATAATATATCAAGCATTGATAATATAAAGATTATAAAATACGCTTAAATAAAAATATTTTTGGCTGAATTTTGTGTTTTATTTGAAATTCCATATCTTAGTTCACATAATACAACTTAAAACATATCATAATTTAGTATTTTTGTATAATATAAAATAAGTGTTGACACTTAGACCCTTCACTGAACCCTAAAGAGCGATTTCTATGAATAATTTTTAACTACAGGTCTGTATAGTGCGACTAATTTATCTGACCCGGTGTGTTTGCGGTTATTTCAGGAATTATATAACCTATTTAAGTATAGATAATGCGATAAAAAAAATTACAATAAGACAAGAAATCTTTTGATACTTTTATCATTAGTAGTGTTATGATTCAGTTTGACACCCGGTGAGCCGGGTCAAATAATTTTTTCGGCCTATAAACTAGAATTCCCTTAGATAACGTATAAATATTTATTATAAATAGCCTCAGTAATATAAATATTTAGTTTGTAGTTATGTAACAAACTTTTATATTTGCAGACAAAATGGAAAAGACCGCTTTTAACTAAGGAAGTTGTAAATTCGATATATTTTTATTTATAAATAACATTAACCTAAGTGAAACCTAATCTATAGTGTGTCTAAATAAGTTAGATTAGTTTAACAATTCATGTCAATTCATGTGACAATTTAGTAGGGATGGGTTGTGTAAAACCAAGCATGAATCTTTTCGATTTTCGATTTTTACTCTCATAGATGTTAGAATCGATAGATTCATAATTATACTTTATGGATCGAAATAAAAAAACACGATTTTTCATTTGTTTACTTAGCAAATTGATGATGTAATTACTATTTCCTAAATTAACTATGAATTGTTAATTAGAAAATATGAATCATGTTCGATTAATTTTATTTTTGTACCGATTTTCGATAGTTCATAGTTGTTCGGTATGCGCGTATGTTCCATCACTACGTTACCTGTCTATTAAGTACGACAATTTCCTTCATACAAATTTAATTTGATATTTCATATGCGTCATTTATCAAACTAATCTAAATTATTTAGACACACTATAACTGTGGTCTCCTGTGATAACATATTTAAAAAAAAATATTTTTCATACATGTTTCCAGTACTTGAGGGTCAACAAAGCACTTGCCGTTTTCCATCGCTGATGAGCTCGTAGGAGTTATCGTCAATAATGCGGTAAACATCACGTCGGTAGTTTTGTATGTTGTGTAAAAACCTCACAGAGCTTTCCTCACGGATTTTCGTCACCACCGGCGGCAAATTATTTGTACACGCTTCTGATGCCAGCGAAGAGTAATAACGATCCTGAAATAAAATTATTCATACTATAAATCTTACTAATATTAACTAACTCGTCCGGCGCGTGCACGAAGCTCGCGAACGCAGGCTTCAGGTCGCAGTACTATGCTGTGACCTGTCAAAGGCTTTCGACGTCGCGGACCACGGAGCGCTCGCCTGTAAACTGCGCCACTACGGTATAAACGGGAACTCTCACGCTTTACTTATAGATTTACTAAAACATCGGGAACAAGTCGTCGTCGATAGAGGGAACGAAATTAAATCAGATCCCCTTTGCACGAGCAGGGGGGTAGCGCAGGGTTCGTCGGTCTCCAACATCCTGTTTTCATTGCTACTTAATGATCTGCCGAATAATGTAACTTCGGGCGAAACAGTTATGTATGCAGATGACGTGGCCGTCGTCGTGTGCGCGTCATCGCCGACCGAACTCGAACGACGGCTGAACTCGGCCGCGCAGGAGGTGGCGCAGTGGCTCAAGTGGAACGGTCTCGTAATGAATCTTCAAAAAACACACTACGTCCATTTTGCAACGTCAAGTAGTAAACACCGGGAACTTTCGGTCTCAATAGGTAATACTAATATCGAAGAAGTAAACTGCACGTCATTTTTAGGCTTCGAAATTGACCGCGGCCTCGCGTGGGGTTCGCATATCGACAAACTGTGCGGTAAACTAGGCGCCGCGTGCTTCGCGCTGCACCGGCTCGCGCGTGTCGTCTCTGCTGACGTCGTCCGCACCTGCTACTTTGCGACCGTACACTCGCTGCTACAGTACGGCGCCGAGTTGTGGGGGCGCGCGGCCGACAGGGATAGGGCATTCCGGATGCAAAAACGCGCGGTTAGGGCGATTGCTAGGGTACCGCGGACGACTACAGCGAAGACGTTGTTTGTTTCGTATAAAATTCTTACATTGCCATCGTTAGTGATTTTCCAGGTTGCGATGTTTACACGGCAGTCGCTTCACGACTTTAAAACGCAAAAGGAGTCCGGCAGCTGTAGGATGGTGACTCGCGGCGCGGACAAGCTGGCTCCAGTGGTGCACCGACTCGCCAAGACAGAAAAATCTACCCACGTCATGGGGCCCGCCGTCTACAACCGCCTGCCGGACCACGTCACAGCGGCTACCAGCCTCGCGTCATTTAAAAATAAACTTAGGTCATGGCTAATACAAAAAGCCTTCTATAGTTTCGAAGAATTTTTGCTTCCATGATTGTTTTATGTACCCAATTCTTATTCAGTCATTTTTAATATATGTAAAGTTTTTTATTTTTTTAAAAAAAAATTATGACTTGTAATTCGATTACCAATAAAATATTTGTATTTGTATTTGTATTATAAATGCGAAAGTTTAGATGGATGGATGGATAGATGGATGTTTGTTTGTAGCCTAAACGGCTGAACGGATCTCCATGAAATTTGGCACAGGTTTAGAGCATAGTCTGGAAGAACACATAGGCTACTCTTTATTCCTGGAATAGTTACGGTTCCCGTGGGATTCATTAATTTAGTTTTTTAATGTTTACTCGATCATTCTGCAACGGTTCAACATATCTTATTGACATTTGGCACAGACATAAAACAAAGTCTGGAGTACACATGGGATAAGCTTCATCCCCGAGAAATGTCCGGTTCCCGAGGGATACGTAGCTTTTTGTAATTTTTATAGTTTGTATGTTTTCTAATACCACGCGTACGAAGTCGCGGGCAACAGCTCGTGATATGATAAATGCGAAAGTTTAGATGGATGTTTGTAGCCTAAACGGTTGAAAGGATTTCGATAAAATTTGACATAGATATAGAGAAGTCTGGAAGAACACATAGGCTACTTGTATTCGTTTTTAGTTCCGCACACGGAGTCGCGAGCGAAACCTAATCCATGTGTACTTCTATACTAATATAGTAAAGCGTAAACACACTACTTCGTGACGTAAGATGTCAGCAATCACAGCATATTTTTAAATAATTCTTTCTATAATAAAAAGCCCTACACTTACACGTTTAGGCTGTATATTTTCACGCTTTTAAACTTGAGGGGTCAATGGAAAAAAATTGAGAAACCTTCACGTGGGTAAAGGGACCCTAAACTGCCAACATTTAGGATGCTAGGTTATTATAGTAACGGTAATTTTGACATTTGCAATTGAGTTTGACACGCATGTAATATAATTTCATGCGGATAAAACCGCACGGGAACAGCTAGTATAAACAATAAATCTCAGTCTGAAAGTCAATGACACTAGAATTATTTAAAAGACTGGAAAAGTCTTGAGAGTATAATCAAACGGACTGGAGGCGATAAAATGTCCGTCCGGACATAAATCGTCCGTCAAATAAAATGTCGTCCGGAGCAAGGCTGATAACGTCACTGGTCAGCCGCACGATGTACTAGGACTGCATAAAGTGGACGGAGCTAATAGAGTGCGGACGCAGGACATGTGAGTGTTATCTGTTTCTACTGCCGAAACATCGGTACAAAATGTAGTGTCTTCTCTTTTATTCACGTTGAATAAAAAGAGATAACGATACAAAAAATGTGTGTTGGGTAAATTCGTAGTGATACTGGTTATAGTTTAGTGAACTCTTGTGATGTCATGTAAATAAAGATTTAAAAAAATCGGTTTAAATAAAATGTGAATTTTTAATGCAAAAAGTTTGTTTGTAAAATGTATTTTGTAATAAATGTATTTTTTTCTTGTTTTTTATTTTACCTATAAAGTAATTACTACGAATGGCTATTTTCACATACCATCCCTTAAATTTAAGGGTCTCCTAAGTAACGCTTAGGAGGCCCAATAATAATTATTTTCACCGAAGTTTTCTAAGTTTATATTTTTTTGGATTCAGGGATATCTTTAACCAAAGGGATGTTTGTTGAACACAGGCACGAGTCGTTTAATGGTCCCTAAGGGCGTCTGTTAATATAGATTTATTATGAGAATTCTCCACTAAGAGATTGCCTAATTGACCATTATACGTCTCTGAGTGAGATAGCTTTGAATAAGTGAACGGCAATCATAATGCAAGTAAAATAAACTTATTGTAGATTATATTATATACCATCTTTCGACTGCATCGTCACCTCCTTTAGGTGGGATCGTGGTCAAGCGCTAGCTTAACAAATAATAATTAAAAAAAAAGACAAGAGAATACTAAAATGATAAATGCGAAAGTTTAGATGGATGGACGTTTTACAGTTTGTAGCCTAAACCACTGAACGGATCTCAATAAAATTTGGCATAGATGCAGAGGATAGTCTGAAGGAGCACATGGGCTAATTGGTTTTGTTTTTTTTTCAATACAACGCGGACGAAGTCGCGAGCGAAAGGAAGTAAAGAATAAACCTGTAATCGCCTTTTACGTAAATAACAAGAATCGAGGTGAACGAAACCTTTAAAACGTTTCCTACTAATAAGGAATACTTTAAGAAAACTAAGTTATAAAAATTCTAGTTTAAATAATTAAGGTCATAATAAAAGTTATAACTTTTAACTTGATTAAATTTTTGAGCAATCAAAATTCTGAAATTGAATTTTGTAAAACTTAGTCATAGCTAAGTTGTATTAATATTTGATTGTTTACTAACTTTATTTTTTTTTTTGACTTTAAAATGTAAGTTATTTTTCTCATTTTACTAAAAAATTGCAATGTTTATTGTAATAAAAAGAATACCAAAGCATATTTGATATATTTATTTGTTTACAAGTAATTATAATTAAGTGAAGATAATTTCTATTACTGAGAGCCCTTAGATTACGTAAAACATGTTAATTCTCCACTAAAGGATTGCTTGATAACCGACTCTGGGAGCAAACAGATATATCGGAATTAATAGCAAATGAAATTTTTATCATCAATAAGACGGTATCTGTCCCGCCTATAGGAGGGCAGATTGTGTAGGAATTTCCCGCTGCTGTCGTTGTGCACGGCCGTCAGCACGGCGGGCAACGGCGCGGTGCCCGACTCAAGGGACAGCTCGCTGTAGTACATCTCCTAATCAACCCGACTAATGTAAAACCCCTTTTTCACTAAGCAGTCGTGACCAGTGGAATAGTACTTTAAAGAAAACGCCAGTGGAAAAAGGGTCTAAAGACACGCAAGCCGATCAAAGAATATCGCAATGCAGATCCTTTTAAATAAGGATTGAAGATATTTTACCGTGTTTTTTTAATACTGAGAATAAAGGAATAAGGAAATCGATAAAGTTTATGGAGTTACAAGTTGTTACATTGACCGTAAAAGGAGTACCTTTTTAATAAAAGTGAAGTTTTATTTACCTCGGTTTGTGGTAAACCTTGTAGATAAACTTAGCAACTTTTCTATTTTATCTTTGCTTATAATAAATAGTTACTGCCTTAACGCAATTTCACTAACTTATTAGCACTAATACTTCAGTAAATACTAAACATATCCTGCTAGAAGGACCAGAAATCTCAAATAAATGCAAATTTCTTTCTAAAATGGAAGTAAAAAACCACAAATTAAAATTAGGTCGAAGTATGTGTCTGACTATTGTAAGCAGACCTGTTATACCCATAGCGGGTGTGGTTACCTGGTCGGGGCCCATCATGTGCGCCTGCCGGCGCGTGTACCCGCGGGCGGCGCGCTGCAGCTTCTCCTGCTCCCAGTGGCGCAGCATCTGCTCGCTGCTCGGCAGACGGAAGCTGCCGTTCATCGACCGCACGTAGTACCGCACCTAGCATATTAAATTTGGTACCCCAATAGCCTCATTTCGGGGAATATTCCCAACCGTCATACTGCTCTGTCCCCACGGGGGGACAGATAAAAATGAAAGTTTCATCCGTCCTACGACGCGATGAGGGGACGGCTGGGCTTATTTTTGATCTTAACGGATCTATCTGTCACCTTATGATGATATTGACACTAAAAGGTGGGACGGATGAAACTTTTTATTATATTCTGATAGTTAGGAATAGTACCGATTAGTATGGACTATATCTTGCGTATTGCGGATTCTAAAAATCTTATCTTACTAAAATATTTCAATGTGAAAGTTTAGATACATAGATGTTAGAGTTTGTAGCCTAAACGGCTCAATAGACCTCGATGAAATTTGGCATACACCTAGAGGATGAAAGAACACATAGGCTACTTTATGTTTTTTTTTATTCCACGTAAAGTCGCAGGCGAAAGCCAGTAAATTGATATATTCACAATAAAGTCAGCATAGCAATATACCTGCAAGTCGAACATAGAGAATGCGCAGACGTAGTAAGGAACTCCGACAAGACACATGGAGGGATGGCGTACGTTCACCAGATGCTTGTACAGCGGCTCCACGCAGTTCTCCTCCACTACGATGTCACACGACTCGTGCAGGAACGGGAAGTTGTACAGATATCCTGCACACATTAACTGCTCTCAGAGTCGCTAAGTAATCCCTTAGTAGATTAACTTATGATACTAATTGAATGATTATAATGACTCTGAGTAGCCCTTTAGTTATGTAAATTGGAATTGTATGAATTTTAAAAGGACTAGGACCACATAAAATGTAAGTTGGGTTTATAATTGTAGGTATGAGAGCAGGCGCACACCTTTGACTAAACTATCGCACAACTGTTGTGCGATTTTCGATTGTTTCAGCCACATTAACTGTTTAGTTGCATATCTAAAAAGCGAGTAGTGAACCTGTATATAAGCTCATAGGATTCAAAGCGAGAGTAAACAGTTGTGCGATAGTTTTAGGTGTGCGCTCTCTAATACGACTAAAGTGAGGGCCTAATCTTTATCTCTTATCCTATTCTTTTGTTGGTTGTTAGATTTTTTTTATATTTAGTTATTACTTACCAGTACAAAGAAATACGACATCCACATCTTCTTCCGTGCCATCTTTGAAGACTGCAGTATTCCCATCCAATTTGACGACGTCAGGCTTCTGCAGCATGTTGTCGGGGAAGACGGAGCGCGGCTTCTCGCTGAGGTGGTGGCTGAGGAGGACCCTGGTTGCTACTCCGGTAACCTCCAGCGCGATGTCCATGCCGGAGGGACCAGCGCCAACAACTAACACGCGTTTGCCAGTGAAGATCTCTGGTACACGGTAGTCGTGGCTGTGCATTACGTCACCTGACAAGTCAAAATGATTCGTCAATAATTAAAGAAGTGGAAAAGGTTTTTGTATTTCTCCCAAATATCTACTCGTATAGAAATGTTATAAATCGTAAACACACTACTTCGTGACGTAAGATGTCAATCACACCAAATTTTTGAATAATTCTTTCTTTAATAAAAAGTCCTGCATTTACGACATACTCTAAGCTATATGTTTTCACGCTATTAAACTTAGGAGGTAAATGAATTGGAAAAACCTTCATGTGTGAAAGGGACAATAAACTACAAGCTGACAACACTAAGGAAGCAAGGTTGCCATGGTAACAGTAATTGTGATCCACAAATTCTAAAAAATAAACTCTTAACGAGGTACCTTTAAATTCCTTAAGTCCTGGTATACTGGGTATGAAGGGCGTATTGTAATGCCCGTTACACACAAACACGTAGTCATACTCGCGGGTCTCAGACACGCCGGTGCTGAGGTCCTTGTAGCTGACGTCCCATAGCTCCCCGTTGGGACCCGCTTTGGGCTTCACTAGCTGCACGTGGTGTTTGAACTGGAAACACAATTCTTATGGTGGTATATTCCCATACATCAGACAATCTAATAATAAAAAAATGGTCTAAGAAAAACAGAGATAAATGGACAGGTTGTAACTGTGGTATTTTGTGTTTATTTGGGGTTGATGGTTACGGTTTTCTAACTTATGTTAGTGACTTTACCATATCTATGGATAAGAGGATTACAAGAAAGAAGTTTACGAGAAACTAGTTCGTAAATTTTCTAGATATGGGAATTACTTACTTTTATATAAGGCGTGACGTTATGTTTGTCCGCGTAAAGTTGCAAGAAGGCGAGCATGTCCTTGGCGGGCAGGTAGGACTTTTCGCTGTCCGGTACTGGAAAGTCCGGGAACCCCATGATCTCCTTAGGCAGGTTGGTTCTGGAAAACAAGCTCATAATCATTCAGAAACTATTAATTAATAAAACTATTTGATTTTTTCATAATTCGTGCATCGCCTTAAGAGCGGGTGCACAACTATGACTGAACTATCGGACAATTGTGCGATTGTCGATTGTTTCGCAGACCATTCAACTGTTTAGTTATACAACTAAAAATCGAGTAAAGTGGACAACACCCTAGAAATCAATATGCGACTAAACAGTTGTGCGATAATTTAGTTTCAGGTGTACGCACGCCCTTAGTACTCCTTTAGGATCTCTGTCTATAAGTTTCATTCTATAAGGAAGTATAAATATTTGTTTCATACGTATTGATAGATTGCACTAATTATTTCCTGATAACCTTTGCCAGCTCTGGCAACATGATTACGCCAGTTCTTATCAGCTGTTGTTTTACCTAGGAAATATGGACTGCATAAACATGTCACATCTAGCGTAAACATCTTGAATATTTAAAAGATGGCTTTCAGACCCTGAATGGAATTTTAATGATCATTTCTTTCAAGCCCACATTATTATCATGGCCAGGATATAAATATGCTTCATAAATAATCTTATTTCAGAAACCCTTCGTGTATCACTCCGTTACAACTTTGTATGCATCTGACTTTATAATAATTGCATTGACAAAACGCAAAGAAATTACGTGGTTGACCTTTTTAATTGTGAGTGCATTTGTTATCAAGAATAAAGCTATGTTATCCTGGTACTTGATATCTATCTTGTTTAAACATTTATGAGTGTGCGGTTAATGTATGGAAAAACTTTCATTATAAAGTACTCTACCTGATTACGCGTTAGAAATACATACATTAAAAAAAATATTTAGTACTATAGTCTTGTTTCCTTGTCAGAATTTTTACTTCACTTATATGAATGATTCTTATTGAATGAAAATCTGATGAATGATGAGGGTGAATGAATGAATGAATTACCTTAGACTTTTATACATGCTGGTATGTATCGGCAGTCCGAAGTCGTCGTATCCCACTGTCTCGGTGTAGACCCAGGTGCCGCCGAGCTGCGCCGCTTGTTCCAGCACGTCCACCAGCGACACACACGGCTCCACCAGCAGATGGCGCGCCGCACACAGACCCGCCGCACCCGCTCCGATCACACACACGCGAGCCATTGCTAGAATACACGTAAGGTTATGATATCCTGGTACTTCTTGTACTTTGTACTTGTACAAATAGTAGAAGTAAACCCAGAAACTACTAACTACTACTACTACTAATATTATAAATGCGAAAGTTTAGATGGATGGATGTTTGTTTGGAAGTACACATATACCTTTTTGTTTTTTAATACCTCAAAAGCGTAGTCGCGGGAAAAAACTAGTTTAAAATAAGTTAATAAAAGTTTTATTTAATCGATTGTTAACAGTATCGATTACTCGCGAGAGTTTGTGCACGCAAGCTTGTAACCTATATAAACAAGTAGAAAGCGATAGATAACGGCTAGACCGGGTTTCAATTGCTTCTTATATAATGATATTTCCAGATTAACAATAACACAAGAAAGAGATTTAATTTAGAAGTAGTTATGTTCCCTTATCAGACAGTGACGTCATTTTTAAGCTATCTGAGTCTCTATCAGACAGTAGTGGGACATGCCCTAATTCGTTTATCAATATTTTTTTTAGTTTAGATGACAGACATAACTTGTAAATAACGTCATTTGTAGGATAAATCTTCGCTCAATTCCTATAAAATTAAATACCAATAAGGCATAATTGTTAGGAAAACTGCTTCCCAGGAAACAATCACGCGCCTTGTTTGGGAAGGAATCTTTTTTATTACTTCTTGGTTATTACTTGAAGTTTTATAACATTATCGATTGCAAATACACGTATACTCCACGTCAAAAGTAAAGAGTACATTTTAAAACTTTTGCGTATTTTTGAAATAGTTACAATAAAAATTGCAAACTATTCTACAAAGAAAGTTGATGAAATTTTGTACTTTGTAACTATATTTTTAAAACTTTACGATAAATAGTAATTCTAAAATAGTTACGTCATACCATATTTATGACATAAAGTGTATGGTAAACTATACTAATATTATAAAGATGAAAGAATTGTATTTTTGTATGTAGAAATAACTCAAAAACTACTGGGCCGATTTCAAAAATTCTTCCATCATTTGAAAGGTAATTAATCTGTGAGTAACATAACCTTTTATTATTTTTTAACTTCGCGGGACGAAGTCGCGAGCAACAGCTAGGTTTTATACAGATCGCGAGTATCGAACTTGTATTGTGAAGGGCTAATCATGCAGCCCTGACTTGTCTGGCCCTACGTTATCTATATTATATTTGTACTGTGGAAGCTATATCAGCTGTTTTTGAATAAATTCTTTACGTAGTTTACAATGTTACGTAGAACTTTCAATGTTCTACGACATTATGTATTCAAGTTATATATTTGTATGTTTTTATATTAGTTATTTTTTTAATTATTGTAATAAATTATGGAATCTATACTACTCGTAATCTATACTGATATTATGAAGAGGAAATATTTGTATTTTTGTATACATCGAAATAACTCAATAAATGTTGGGCAGATTTAAAAAAAATTGTCATAATTAAAAAGCTACTTTATCAGTGAGAAACAAAGGCTGATTTTTTTTATTTCCCCCTGGGCGAAGTCGCGAGCAACAGCTAGTACGTTATACTTTTGAAATTTAGCTTTATTATTTAAGACGATGTATATTTAAATTTCGTTTCAGAATACAACCGTAAATGTTTGAAGAAATTACTTATCCAATTACAGCAGAACCTGGGCAACTTAAAAACCTCTATAACTTCAAAAAATAATAAGTTACCTTATCAGAGCCCAAAACCTCTACAACATAGACCCTTGATAACTTAAAACCTCTATAACTTATAATATTTTGTGTTTTCCTTGGACTTTAACTTATCGAGGTTCTTCTGTATTAAGTTTATTATAAGTGTTTACTTATTGAAAATGATACCTTTGTACATAATAATAATCTCTGGAGAGAAATGTATTTTGACCTTGAATTAGAAGTATGCGGTTATCGGTCGTTAACTGTAGCTTGGCCATGAGGTAACATTCTCGGGGTTTAGGTTCTATTTGAGGATTAAGTTACCCTATTACCGATCTACCGCGAGTTCGATTCTCAACGGATTATAATGATCCATTTTGTACCACGTCATATGTAATACAAAACATGTGGTAATAAATTTTAATTATTCGTATACTCGCCCGCAACTCCGTCCACATGAAATAAAAAAACAAAAGCAAATAGCCTATGTGTTCTTTCAGACTATCCTCTACATCTATGCCAAATTTCATTCAGATCCGTTCAGCCGTTTATGCTACAAACTCTAACAAACATCCATCCATTCGCGTTTATAATATCAGTATAATAGTATAATTTATCATATTAATATTATAAATGCGAAAATTTAGATGGATGGATGGATGGATGGATGTTTGTTAGAGTTTGTAGCCTAAACTGTTGAATGAATCTCGATGACATTTGGCATAGATGTAGAGGATAGTCTGGAAGAACACATAGGCTACTTACTTTTCTTTTTTTTTATTACGCGAATAGAGTCGCGCGCGAAAGCTAGTATTGCAATAAACTTGAAATGCAGTCGATTAAATTAATTACTATACTGATCCAGTTAAATCCGGTTACGATCAGATGAACTTACATGCGAGACACAAGTGAACTAATTTTATTTAAATTAACCATTAATTTCACATCATTTCCCCCAAATAAAGGGGACTGCAAAAATTAAACCAAAATATGAAAATGAAAATATAAGGCTAGGTGATTAGGATGGAAGCGAACTAAATGTGTGACACAATATCAATTGTCATTCGAAATTTAGAATAGGAAAGTACCACAGAACTTCCAAAGTTTAGTTTTTTAAGATGTAATTTTTTTACTATTTATGTGTTATTTAAGAGCGTCTGTGGCTCTTGTCATCTTTGAGTCCTGGGTTCGAATCCCACTAAATATGTACCATTTTTTCGTTTGTACATTTACCCGAAGTTACGGTGAAGCATAACCTCGTTATGCAACCTTCACATATCGAAGATATTCAAAAATATGTGTGAAGTCAACTCGCAGTGGGCCAGAATGGTTGAATATGGGCTAGTCACCCTTAACCAGGTGTATTCTTCGAGCTCTCAGTGGGGACGTTAATTTAGTATTGGAAAGGGTATATGTATTGCTTAACAAAATTACGTGATACAAAACTGTCTCGGGAACTGAAACCTCTGACCCCTGTCACCGGGTCACGATTTAATAAGTCAATTAAAGACGCTTCTAGATTTGTAGTAAAATTTTACAACACTGACAAGAATAAGCTGATCTCTGAACTAGAGTTGAAAGCTATAAAACCGGTACAGATAAAGGGAATCGTCGTAGGATTGCGGGTCGACCGAGAGACCTTATTAAAATGGTTAAATGCCGGGTCGTTGACATGTTGCAAAAGCGAATCCACTTAGATAAAATTTGTTTTATCTGTGGCAGAGACTTTTGTCTTTTTTAATTATTAATCATATCTCTCGATTATTAGTACTTCAAACGAGAGAAAATCGGTTAAAATAAAGAATAAAATGTGATAGAAATCTTAATTTCGCGCCTTTTTACTTCACCTTCTATCCATGTCCCTATATTTCTGGTATTTGACTTACTAATACTTCGACGCATCATCATCATCACCAGCTCACTATATGTCCCCACTGAGGGGCTCGGAGCCTACCCCTAAGTAAGGACTAGGTTGTCACCAACCACGCTGGCCCAGTGCGAGTTGGATGACTTCACACACATCTTTGAATTTCTTCGCCGATATATGTAGATTTCATCATTATGTTTTTTTTTATAACATAAGGTGGCAAACGAGCAAGCGGCCCCATGAAATCGCCAAAATGGCGAAGCGACCGCTGCCCATAGACATCCGCAATTGCAGATGCGTTGCCTACCCTTATACGACGGAGGAGGAGATGCACATAAAGAGGATATTTCCCCTTCCTATGCATCTCCTCCACCGTCAAATCCACTTCCTCTTCCCAACATCTCCTTAAAAGAAAAGGGTGGTAAAGAGAAAGGGACTTAAATTAGGCCTCCGGCACCACACTCATCAGACGGTCAGTCTTCACATCAGTGTGGTATTACACCGGGTGTGCCGGCCCATTCGTGCTAAGATGTTAAAGCGGGCACTACCACTGTTTTCTTTCACCGTAACAACATCGGGTAAATTATGTACATATGAAATACGAAAATTGAAAATTACATTGGTACAGCGGGATTCGAACCCAGGACCTGTAGATTACAAGTCATGTGCTCCCGAATCACTGACGCTCGACGACTTCGACGTATACGAGGTTCAAAATTCGTTAATCGTTAACACTGTTTTTCTAATTATTTTTTAAATTATTAACTAGAATTTTAATGTAACTATCGGTTGATAACCATAAAAATAAGTTGTTTATTAATAAATTAATTATGAAAGAGAAAAAAAAGTCTCATATATTTTTTTTAATGTTGCTTAGTGGCTCGTTACTCTGAGACTAAGGTTCGTTTGTAGTTGTTTTTTTTATTATTTTTCTATTGGAAAAAACTTAATTTAAACGTTTATCTTTACATAGTAAGAAATTGATTTTATTGCACTTTTACTTATAAGATAAAAAAATATCTTTGATTATTTTTAAACACATAAAAATATCAAAACGTACCGTTAAAAGGTATTCCTGGTTTTCTTAAAAAAATGCACTTCACTGCCTCACTAGAACGCAAGGTAATACTTGAGTAATATCTAAATGTCAATTAAATATGAGATCAAGTTGTTTTTGTTGTGTTGACGGACGCAACGAAAATGGCGGGAAGCGTCCCTACGCGCCGGTTTTATGTGCGCGCGAGAAACACGCGAGTGATTTTTATGACAGCTATGCAGTTTTTTTTTCATTAAGTAGGAGTATTAACTAAATTATGCCAATTTTCAACATTTTAATGTTTTTTTTTTATAATAATGTTGAAATATTAGAAATTCATTTTAATTTAATTAAAAAAAATTAAGTGCAAGAAAGGTTGAAATAGATCGATAGAAAGTTATTTCTCTTGTTTTATTACAAGTTGATATATTTGTTTAATGATTTGTGCGAAACAAAGCAATTCTTGATGTCCTTGCTAGTACAATAATGATTGGCCTTGCTTCGTGTTATTCAGTATCAGATAAACAAACATCGATATTCCTTTCGATATCCCAATAAATAAATAAGAGATGATTTTGACTCAATATTATTTTGTTATAAAAATATATTAATAAGGGCGTAACTGTAGATTTAAAATTCACTTTTTAAATATTGTCTTTGGAAATCAAAGTAATTGAGATTCACCTATAGCTGTGTTTCGTTTGTTTTTTTTATATAGGACTAGCTGTTGCTCGCGACTTCGCCCGCGTAATAAAAAAAGTAAAGCCCATGTTACTCACAGATAAATTACCTTTCTAACGGTGAATGAATTTTGAAATCGGTAGTAGTTTTTGAGTTATTTCAATACATAAACAAAAAAAAACAAATCTTTCCTCTTACCAATAAAGACAGACAAAGGGGTAAATAAGGAAGCGGTTACCTAAATTCGCTGAAGTAGCGAATCCACCACAGTCTATAGATATCCGCAAAAGCAGATACGTTGCTTACTCTAGTCGACAGAAAGAATGCACAGAATATTTCCCGTTTTTGTAAGCAACATTTTTCAACCATTGACCACCGTAAACATTTATTACCGTAACATAATTTTGTATGAGGCAAGTAGTGAAGTAATTTCATGAGCTACGCAACTATGTTGTTCTAGATCAGTCTATATGATTGTCTTGTAACCAATTTTAATAGACACCTGAAAACTTTAACTTACACAACGATAATATCACAGAAAGGTGTCTATGAGGATCGAGTTAACTTGGACGTTTACTATGATGAAACTTGCCGGCGGTTTGCGTGAAGGCTTCCGTTGAAAGAGACGGCGATATAAACAAATATCTTTTGTCTCTTGCGTAAATTTTGGTAGAATTATGAAGGCTATTGTTTGATGTAATTAATTTCAAGCATTGATTTTTCTTGTATGCGCTTTTTAATTTTTAGAAGTAATTTCCATTTTTTTAGTATCTAAATAGGAGCTCACTTATGGACTATAACTGTCTGTTGTTAGAGTATATTTAATTTATCGATGTCGCCCGGGTGAAATTAAAAATATAACCTATGTTACTCACAGATAAAGTACCTTTCTAATGGTGAAAGAGTTTTTGAAATTGGCCCTGTAGTTTTTACGTGAATCGAATACATACAAAAATGCAAAAATACAAATCTTTCCTCTTTATTATATAAGTATAGAAGTATAGATATAGATAAATATACTATAATCTAGGCTAGGACTAGGGTTTCCCCTAGTCCATTAATATTGTTTTATTTTTAATAGTTATATCTTTTTTATATATATTTTTGTACTGTTTAAAATCAAATAAGAATTACAATACATGAGGTTTTCACGTGATATGAGCATTAGAAATGGTTTCTGATTGCCGTTAGACGCATCATGATGCAATATCGTTGCGCCTTGCACCACGTGACCTCCCCCCCAACTTCACACCCGCGGGCGCCGCGTTTGTTTAGAAAGGTAAAGGATTTTCGTGTGGGCCGAAATATTCATAAAATATAAGGTCAACACAGTATTTTATTTTTTTAACACAAGTTTAAGTAGAAATTAAAGAGTAAACATGAATAAACAAAAATCGTAACTTTTTAATAATATTGTAAATGTTTGGATGGATTTATGTATTTTTGTTTCTGTGTATAATATCTACAAGACGGCTATGTCTCGATGAAATTTGGTACAGATGTAGAACATAGTCTGGAAGAACACAAACATTTAGTTCTTAATTTCGAACCGATAGTAGTGAACAAAAGCTGGTATCAAAATATTTTTAATAGAACCCATACGAGTAAAAATTAACATAAAAAGAAGCATTTCAAGATAAAAATGTAGTAATCAAAATAAATAAATTGCTTCAACAAGAAAATATAGTGTTATTTAATACGTAATTTCCTCAACTACCAATAAGTATAATGAAATTAATTTAGAAGTTTACGGCAGAGCTAATGTGCGAAGTAAGTAAAAACACCTGACGGCGTAAACACATATCTGCTGTAATACGTATAACATTGTCATCAGAAATTAGACCCACAGACCATGAACTAGTCTACCTGTAATTTTTTAGGTTAAGTATATATCAAAAATTACTCAAGCAAAGACTATCCGTCACCATAGTAAATAATACGTTAATACCGATATTATTTTTCAAACAAACGATATGTGTCGCATCATAATACTTCGATGCATCATCATCATCACCAGCTCACTATACGTCCCCACCGAGGGGCTCGGATCCTACCCTAATAAGGGGTGACTAGGCCATACTCAACCACGATTGCAAGTGCGTGTTGGTTGACTTCACACATATCTTTGAATTTCTTCGCCGATATGTGCAGGTTGCATCACGATGTTTTCCTTCACCGTAAGAACGTCGGGTAAATTATGTACATATGAAAATTCGAAAAATCTAAAATCACATACACCGTTCAAATTAAACATTTAACAATACAATTAGTATGATGCAGGGATGTTTTACAAATGTTTTCTTTAATTTTTAAGCGAATATTTAATGCATTTATACAAGTGCTAACAAATAATTTTGCTGTATTTTTGGGTAAATTCCGTAGCGTAGGGATCATTCGCATTCGCTCTTCATATCACAATAAATTTTGTGATTAGTAGCGCGCCCAAAATATTATTCAGTTGACCACACCTGGTATAGTGCATATTAGCGGAGAAAACTTAAAAATTAACTTAAAAATTATTTCTGCAATAGGCTCATTGCATCGAAATTTATCTATAAGTTATCATATTTGCAACAATGTTGCTTATGTTTACATATTTTTTATGCCTATTATAAATTAACGCAGTAATTGATAAGAATGCGTTATGATTATTTTAATTACTATAAAAAGTGCATGTTTATCCTAAAAACCGGATCTGTTTAAACGACGCCTGGATGAATAAACTAGGCAATTGATTATTTAAAGCATGTGCATGTAGAAATTATAAAAGCAGTTATCTACGCCCGGTATTTACCGCTTCTAAGCTGTAAGCGTAAGCGGCTTTAACTCATCTGTGACATTCAATAGGTTATCTGTCACGCGTCAGGTTTGCAATCGGCCTAATTAGAGATCGTTCGCACGCGCACGCGCATCTCATTATCAAATTATGTTTACGTCTTTTTGATATCTGCATTTTTAATTACTGTTTTACATAAAATATAAAAGAGTGTAAGTACATTTATAATGATGAAGATCTACTTTATTAACCTAATTTAGGAAACAAACCCATACGTTTGAACGTCTCAATAAAACTGTCTTGTTGTATTCGTAACTTTTTACGGATTCATTTACTTATTGATATCGTTAGAACTTTCAACGTGCTAGCTATATAGCTAGTTTGGGATTAAAATTTAAACCAAAATTACCTCGTTTTTGGTATCTAATAAAATTACGTTGAATTAAAACTAAGACCACATGATGTTGTGTTTTGTTGGCAGAAGGTTTGTTACTTTTGTTTTAAAACTATAAATGTCATTATTTGTTTGACACTTAAATGTCATATCAAATTGACAATGACAGCAAAACATTGTTTCTGTAATAAACAATCATGATAATAGGACAAAGTAATAACAATCGATAGCAATGCTCTAATGCTACGTAATATACTATGATTTTATACATCGTCCGACAATGAATCTGTTCACACAGAATTGTTTAAAACATGGACAGCGATGATCCGCGAACACCGCTTTTAGGTATGTTTTATGAAATCATTATGTTTTATTGCCAAAATTAATGCAAAATTACAGTACATCGTGTAACTTTTAAATAGTAAGAGGTTGCTATACTCGACACTTTAGATTTTTTAAAATTTTATTTCCATTGTGTTCATTTTTGTCATTGTTTATCGATTATTGATTTCGAAATTGAGCTAAGTGTGTTAAGGACGTTATTCAGTTATAATTAAATATCTAGCTTTAGGAGACATGGAACTTTATACTTAAAAATACATAACTGTATTCCATTAAAGAAGAAACTAAATAAAACAAAGTTTAAAACAAGATTTTGGTGACTACAATATTAAAATCTAAATGGAAGCTATGTCCTAGAAAATGTACTATAAAACTATGCTGATTATTGTTAATTAACGATTAATGATTGGTATTAATTTGGACAGTTCGACAGTAGCATAGGCCTGTATGGAGTATCTTACTGCCACTTGTTAGCGCTCATTTTGAGTTTTGCACTACTTTACTAGCATAATGTAAACCAGGTATAAATATTGTTGGTTCCTTTAATGTTAATGTAACATTTAACTGTATGTAATACTAGCTGTTCCCATGTGGCTTCATCCGCATTGTATCATAATAACATTATTTTGTTGTTTATATTTGTCAAATTCTTAATTGCAAATGTCATGACATGTGACAAACCATGGCAACCCTGCATCCTTGATGTCGGAAGCAACTTATGATCTCTTTCCTACATTAGGGTTTTGATCCAAAATATTTACCACCTAAGTTTAATGGCGTGAAAATATATATCTTAAAGCGTGTTGTAAGTGTAAGGCTTATTATTAAAAAAAATAATTTTTTGAAAATATGCTGTAATTGCTGACATCTTCGGTAATAACAAAGTAGTGTGTGTTTATGCTTTATTATAATAGTATAGATTGTCTAATTCATATAAAAATATCTTTGACCGTTTTCAGACTTCACTATTGATGCAATATAAATGACTATGTATGGTAATGATTGATTTTTTAAATTGAAATAATTGCTGATTTTTCACATTAAAAAAATCCTTTAATGTGTGATGCATGTAATCAAATGTTATTTCTTTGCGTTACCGAGAATGTTTTATTTAAATGCAAATAAAAATTATGTACAAATTGATGGATCCAACATTTTGCATTTTACACCTTGTTTTATGTTTCTTTCTCAACTAATTTTAAAAGTATAGATTTCTGTATAAATTTGAAAGTAATATTAGGAAGCAGAGGATTGCAGATTTTAGTTGTCTTATATGATCATGTTAAATGTGGTAGAAAATTTGTGTTTCAAACTTACTATAGTTTACTTAGAAGCCATGGTTAAAAAAAGCTTTAGTTCATATTTTTTACTGAAATCTATTGTCATCCATTTTTTATCAGCCCTTTTTTATGTTGATTTAATTTTTAATTTATTATGTAAGAATTGTTACATTGTATGTAGACATGTTTAATGACTTAAGATTTAGTTCTTATCTTTATTAGATTATTCACCTTCATTTAAATTGAGAATGTTGAATAAACAGTTAAACAATTCTGGGTTGCCAGTAGCAATATATATGAATATTATTAGAGGAATAAGTATCTCTGAAAGTCTCTGACAAATCTACCGCGCGCTCAAAGAGTAACTGCCAATTCAAAACTCGGTGTCACCCCAGCGGTCATGTGTTTAAAATCATTCGCTAATTTTTAGACCAATGACAGGCAACCATGGATTTCAGTGTTACCATCTAATAATATAGTATATTTTTCAATCTTTATAAAAAAAATTAACGCCCATGTGTTGTTAAATGTTTTGCAGAACAACTACCAAAGAGACAAACACAGAATTTCTTCTTGAGATATTTAGGTTTATTCGCGACCTCTTACACTTTTTACTGGCTTAAACTTTTTAAAGCAATCAACTAATGATCGTTATTAACTAGTGTTTAATCTGTATTTAGTGTAACATTTAAACTATTCAGACTTCCCAAAAAAAGGAGGTACTCAATTCGTCTGTATGTTTTTTTATGCATGTTACAGCATTACTCCGCCGCTAATATACCGATTTTGATGATTCTTTTTTAATTGTTTAACCATATTACTATGTAGAATCCTTGAATCATTTTGAAGTTAATTGTGTTAATTTAGATTAAGTACTTTATAAGGCTTAGTAATATTTGTACATTTCTGATTACAAAGAAGGCTTTATGTTTAAATATGCGTGTTCATTGTCGTTATCATTATAACCTTATACATATATCTATACTAATATATAAGAGGAAAGATTTGTATTTTTGTTTGTATTGAAATAACTCAAAAAACTACTGGGCCAATATCAAAAATTCTTTCATCATTAGAAAGGTCATTTTTCTGTGAGTAACATAGGCTATTTTAATTTTATTATTATTTTAATTTCACGCGTACGAAGCCGCGAGAAGCAGCTATTTAGTATTAAAGGCACAACATGGCACGAGATATATATTTTTAATTAAATAAAAAATTGACAGTCTAAATCATATTTTTAATGATTTTTGTAATTTTAATATTGTATGAATGGAATTTTTACTATGCATATATTTTACATGACAAATACCAAGACGTTAGGTTTCGTAATTTCATATCAAATATCGCCTCGCTTGCAGTGTGCGCTTACTTTACACGTGTCATAACTTTTTATGTTTGATAGTTTGATGTTATTTTGCGGTTTATTTTACAAGAAGACGCACTGTTTAGCTGAAGCTTGTAATGGGAGATTGGAACGGTAAATATATATTTTCTTATTTATTTTATGCTATATTTTGATCTAGTTTATTAAAATGTCACCTAGTTTCACCTAGTTTCACCTAGTTTATAAAAATCAAGCGCCAATAGCCTAATGGTTTGGGGTACGGACTACCGACCTTGCGGTCGAGGGTTTGAATCCCGCCATTCGACTGTCGTGAACCATATCCTAGGACAAGTCTAGAGCTTAGTTGGAATGGTTAAAGCAAATATTAGTAAATTAACAAAAATCTACTAATATTTTTATTAAAAAAATATTACTACGTAAGTTTTTTTTTCTAATACAATTATTTATTTACTATTTATACATATTTGTATTCAATATCGCTGGCTATTAAGAAATTTTTACACCTTTAAAATATTTTGTGTTTTAAAATGAAAAATACTAACAGACATTTGTGTTTTTGTTTTGTTAATAAAAACCCTTTCATTCTGCCATACGAGTTTTTAAACTCCATAAATGTTTTAGTTATGATTGTGTGTGCGCGTGTTCAGTCGTATGAAAGATTCCCCATACGTTATACGTCTTCTAGGTTTCTTGTGTGTCTACATTTGTAGCATATTTGATTTATTATTCAGTATACTAGTGTAGTTATATCTGTGATTTACATTAACCAATGTTAAGAGGTCTGCAATGTTAGTACCTGGTAAGGGTATTTTTTGATATTAAAAATATATCTTTTATAATATGTTTTATAATACTTGTTTATAGAAATACAATCACGATGTCTACTAGCTTTTTATGTCAGTGGTAATAGTAGAATATACATATATTTAGTTTTGAATATAGGCATGAAACCGTATTAATGTAGCTGTTTTAATATTTCATCTCTCCGTGGACACTTACATCATAGACTATTGTCATACTAGCTTATGACCGCGTCACCGTCCGTAAGGAATTAAAAAAAAGAGTAATCTATGTCTTTTACCAGACTATCCTTAACATCTATGACAGTTTTCAACGAGATCCGTTCATTAGTTTAGGCTACAAACTCTAACAACTATCCATCTAGCTGTTTGTACAGGTCACGAGCGTGAGAGCCGGCTGGTCCGCGCGGCGCGCAAGCTGTGCGGCCTGGAATCATGGCGCAGACGAGTGCCCATCTCCATCTGGCTGCCCAAGTACACCCTCCAGTGTTTGTACAGAGACATCATTGCCGGTCAGTCTTCACTTTAAATAACCACAGTAACACTTAACACATTGTTTTAATAAGTGATACATATGTCATAAATTGAAACCTATAGTAGGTAATGTTGCTTACTGTCGAACTCTTAGCAAAGTGTTAATTATGAAATACGAGCTGTTGCCCGCAACTTCGTCCGCGTGGTATTAGAAAACATACAAACTATATAAATTACAAAAAGCTACGTATCCCTCGGCAACCGGACATTTCTCTGGGATGAAGCTTATCTCATGTGTACTCCAGACTTTGTTTTATATCTGTGTCAAATTTCAATAAGATATGTTGAACCGTTGCAGAATGATCGAGTGAACATTAAAAAACTAATTTAATGAATCCCACGGGAACCGTAACTATTCCCCGGATAAAAAGTAGCCTATGTGTTCTTCCAGACTATGTTCTAAACCTGTGCCAAATTTCATGGAGATCCGTTCAGCCGTGTTGGCTACAAACGCTAACAAACATCCATCCATCCATCCATCTAAACTTTCGCATTTATAATATTAGTAAGATTAGTAAGATATACCCTTCAAGGCTGCATTACAAATGAAAGAAATTGGAATAATCTTGATCGGATTAATCCAAAAGTTGTGTAAAATTGTTAAATAATCTTTACAAGAGAGCTTTGGAAGTAGTTCACTTTAATAATTTTGGGAAGGGGCTAGAGGGGTTTTGCGCCATTATTCCGCTTGTATCTGTCAATGATTTTAAATTGACATTCATTTAAACACGTTCCATTTTATTAATGACACTTGAAATAAATGACAATCGTAAGATGGTTTAGGTGATGTTGTTTATGATTAAAAAGAAGATATATTTAAAAATAGCTTTCGCTCGCGACTCCGTCCGCGTGGGATTAAGAAAAAATAAAAGTGAGTAGCCTATGTGTTCTTCAGACTATACTCTACATCTATACCAAATATCATCGAAATCTGTTTAGTCGTTAAGACTACATCTAACAAACATCCATCCATCTAAACTTTCGCATTTATAATATTAGTATGATAGGAAACTGATGTCACTTGTCATCCTGTTTTTACTAAAAATGGTTCTCACATATTAAATTCATTAATTCATGATTTTCGTTAATTTAAACATGGTCCTTCGAGTCGGATTTAATGATTGATTGATTTACATGATGTTTTTAATGATTTTTTTGTATTGTGAATTCAAAACTCGTTTTTCAAAATTCGCGAAATAAGCAATGTTGGTTTTCGTTGCTTCAAATTTTGATATATTACATCGGTATATCTTTTTAATTCCACATATTAAATGTTAATTAAAAGCTTGTTAAGTCATGAGATCTATAATATTTTCAATTGAATTGAATTGAAGAAGGACCCCCTACGGGTTCGAAACTGGTCGGTGCCTACACCGAAAGTTCCCACGTGAGTTTTAGCCGTGTTATAAATAAATAATATAGTATAATGTCTCACGAAAGTTTTAATAAGTTAATTTTCAATTGAGTTCATCACATGTAACATTATCGTGTATGAATGATCCTTTCATTTTAAATTTTATAAAAGTTATTGGTGTTAAATACGATATTAACATTAACATAATCAAGAATAAAATGTAAAATATCATACTTTTCATAATCATACTTCATACTAATATTATAAATGCGAAAGTTTAGATGGATGGATGGATAGAAGGATGTTTGTTAGAGTTTGTAGCCTAAACGGCTGAACGGATTTCGATGAAATTTGATATCGATGTAGCGGACAGTCTGGAAGAACACATAGGCTACTCACTTTTGTTTTTTTTTTAATTCTACGTGGACTGAGTCGCGGGCGAAAGCTAGTAATATTATGAATGCGAAATATAAATATAATAATATTGCGAATTGGCACAGACATAGAGGATAGTCTGGAATAACACATAGGATAATTTTTTTTTAATTCCACGCGAACAGAGTCGCTGGCGACAGCTATTAAACATAATATTTAAGTTTTAGGTAACATATAAAGTTTTGTCATTTATGTCGTAATCAGTGAAAGTGAAATCTGATGAATTAACAACCCGATGATTCAAAGAAAGCAACCAAACAGGTTTAAAGAGAATTCTTTCTGTAGTTCAATGTTCCGATTTATTCGCGTTTATTTATACTTTACGATACATTCGTTTAATTTTATAACATGTCTACTTATATCTATATTTTAACTAGCTTACGCCCGCGACTCCGACGTGTGGACTTAAAAAAAAGTATGTGTTCTTCCAGACTCTCCTCTACGTCTATGCCAAATTTCATCAAGATCCGTTCAGCAGTTTACATTACAAACTCTAACATCCATCAATTTAAACTTTCGCATTTATAATATTAGTAAGATTAAGATTTCAATTAATTACCACATTCAGTACTTTACTATGTAGTAATTGAATTAAACTCTTGTTTAATTTGTGTTTCAGGTATTACAGTAGGTCTCACGTCCATCCCGCAAGGAATAGCATATGCAATGGTAGCTGGCTTACCACCACAGGTAAATAAGACTGCTAAATAGTAAATGTTACTAATATTATAAATGCGAACGTTTAGATAGATGAATTATTGTAAGAGTTTGTACCCAAAACTGCTGAAAAGATATAGATGAATGTTGGCATAGATGTAGAGGATAGTCTGGAAGACATGGGATACTTAATTTAGTTTTAATTAAGCAGACGAAGTCGCGGGGGAAGGCTAGTTTTTGGTATAGTGTGTCTTTCGTATGCTAGGTGGGTCTGTACTCCAGCATATTCCCTGGCTTCGTGTACGTGTTATTCGGCAGCTGCAAGGATGTGACGGTGGGGCCGACCGCGGTGCTCGCGGCGCTGCTCGCCAAGTACGTGGCTCTGTCCCCCGACTTCGCCTGCCTCGCCGCCTTCCTCTCCGGCTGCATCATTCTGCTGCTGGGAGTACTGCAGCTAGGTACAAGTGGCTCTTGGCGATTACGCTAGAGCCAATGCCTTACACTCATACTAACTGTGGATTGTAGAAGCGTTGCCTGCCCTTTATTGATAGAGGAGGAGACGCACATAAAGAGGATCTCCCCCTTCTATGCGTTTCCTCCTCCGCCATATCCACTTTCCCTTCCCATTCTTTCCTGATAAGAAAAGGGTGGAAAGAGGAAATGAGTATAGTTAGGTCTCCTGCACCATACTCAGACAAAACGCAGAATTGCTTCCACTCCACTCCTGTCTTCTGTATGGTAGAGGACTACTACTGGTAAAATTATTAATTTCGAAGTTAACTCTAGCTGTATTAACAGATTGCCATGTTCAAACAGTCGCTTATGGTGGATTTTCTGTACAGTGTGATATAGAGTGAGTTTTGCAGGTTTCCTGTTGGACTTCATCTCGAAGCCAGTGATCAGCGGCTTCACGACAGCCGCAGCGCTGCAGATATCCGCCTCGCAGTTGAAATCATTGTTTAGGGTAACAGGTGAAATTACGAGAGTCGATTTAAACAGAAATCATCTCAAACTTTCTGATAATTTACAATTTATATAGAAATTTATACAAAGTACACTCGCGGAAATCCGCGGTGTCACACTTCAGGAAAAATTGCCTTGTTCATTATAATGTAATAAATTCCGCCTCGTCCTACTAAAAAGGACCTTAATATATTGTAACTAGCGTAATTAACATAAACACTCGGAGCCAATAATCATGTGTTGCGCCAATCCTCCAGCGCAGTATTTTCTTTTTTTAACAGTACAAATAACTACTTAGATAGCAGCAAGTGACAAAAGTTAATAATAAAAAGAAACTATCCATGTATTCAACGACTTTTTTGTACAGACACAAGCTGCGATGAATTAGTTTTTGTTTCGCGCCTTGTTTTAAAATGTTTAAACAATTGGAACACGGATAGTTTCCCTGACTGATGTAACAGTCTAGTAAATAAACATGGTATAAGTTAAACTTAGGAATAATCTGAATATAAAAGTACTAATATTGGTACAAATTTTGCATATATTCAGTTTATTTCTAAGTTAAGCTTTATTTGTAAGGCTATTAATATTAATTACAGTATTCTTTGTGTTCAGGGTCATCAGGTAACACTTTCATCCAGGCGCTGGTAAACTTCTTCAAGAATATAAAGACAATACATCTATGGGACAGTGTTCTCGGCATCGCTTCTATTATATTCCTCTTATTAGTAAAGGTTATAAATTTTCTAGTATTACCCATTCTATTTTATCTTTAATCTATGTTTAGAGACAATGAACACATACAACAAAAATTAAACAAAAAATGGGACCCACCTGCAAGCATTACCTTTCGGATAAAAAGAGAATTATCCAAATCGGTCCACTAGCGGCGGAGTTATGCCGTAACACATAAAAAAAAAAATAAAAAAAAAACATATCGACGAATTGAATACCTCCTACTTTTGGAAAGTCGGTCAAAAATAATTTCTGTTACACTTCTTGCCTTATATATCTTATTTATTTATATATGACTATTAAAAAAAAGAGCTTTATTTTTTCCTTGATCTATGTTTAATTTACTAGTCGTTTCAATTTAGGGTATTTAAAAAAAATCATGCATTAGATGGTTAAATGTGTTTGTATAATATATTAATTATTGGGCTATGTCTAGCAGTGTACTGCTATATATAATATTACTATTCAGCCATATAAGCGTCGGTGGCTCAGTGGTTTGAACATTTGACTTGTAATCTAGAGGTCTTGGGTTCGAATCTCGCCATGTACCAATGTGATTTTCGATTTTTCAAATTTTCATATGTACATAATTTACCCGACGTTCTTACGGTGAAGGGAAACGTCGTGATGCAACCTGCACATATCGGTGAAGAAATTAAAAGATATGTGTGAAGTCAACCAACCCGCATTTGGCCAGCGTGGCTGACTAAGGCCTAGTCACCCCATATTAGGGTAGGCTCCGAGCCCCTCGGTGGGGACGTACAGAGAGCTGGTGATGATGATGATGATATGACGTCATATGGCTAAATAGTAATATATTAATTGATATAGTAATTAGTTAACAAATCTTGTACAATAGCGTGTGAAGTTGCGCGGGCGGGTGTGGGGCGGGTGGGGCGCGGGGGCGGCGCGGTGCGCGGTGCGCGCCAGGAACGCACTGCTAGTCTTCCTCACCTCCGCTCTCGCGTACATCTTGTACAGGAGTGGTATCTCTCCGTTCGCGCTCACTGGTCAGTTGGTAACACTAAATAAATCATTAACGCCCTAATTTGAATCCTATTGACATTTTCTACCCTTTTCGTACAAAAGAAAGTGGATTTAGAGGGTATGAGGGATTATTGAGGGTAAAATCTTTCTGTGCGTCATCACTCACTATAACACCAAATGAGCTTGGAGCCTTTTTTAATCTAAAAAAATGTATATTTATTTTTTAATACGACTTGTATTATAAGTTTCTTATTCGGAGTAATATTTTATATCCTGCTCGAAGGACTTACTGCAAAATCTCTGAATTTTTGATATTAAAATTTCGTGGTGTATGGTATTATTAATAGGGAATATGCATGTATTTTTTTTAAACGATCCTACTTGTTATAAAATAACCACAAAAAAAATTTGACGCGAAAATATTCAACCATTGAGCTAAAAATAATGAAATGAAATTGCGACCATTTTCGAGCGACTAAAACGCGACCGGAGTTATCATGAGACGATTGACGTCAATCGTCTATTCCATTAAAAAGTTTGGTACAATTTGGCGTCATATGCATATTGCCTATTGTTATTGAATGAATTAATCGGTAAATTGTAGTAATCATTGTTAATATCCAGGTAAGATAGAGGGCGGGCTGCCGCAGTTCGGTCCGCCGGCGTTCAGCACGCGGGTGAACAACCAGACCCTGGGCTTCGCGGACATGCTGCAGAGCTTCGGCCTGGAGGGGCTCGCCCTGCCGCTCGTCGCCGTGCTCGAGAGCATCGCCATCGCTAAGGCATTCGGTAACTACCTCACATTACTTAACACTTAAATGCATTATGCATTTATACACCAGTCTTCTCTCCATACCCAATAGACTAATTTAAAAAAAAATATTTTATTTAAAAAAAATCTATATTTTTCCCTTGTTCTATGTTCAATTTACTACCCGTTTTAATTTAGGGTATTTAAAAAAAATAATGATCGATATTAAGATCAAATATTAAGACAAATATTAAGATCGATATGATTTTTTTATATAACAAGATAATTATTTTTACTCGCTATTCGTTTACATATTTTTATTTAAAAAATAAATAATACGTACAGTTTTGTTACATGTGTACAATGAAAGCCTTTGTCGGTTATAATTGTTGGTTTCCAACGTTAAAACAATAACATTGTTAATACTTATCTCCTAAATGATTTAACGGACTTAAAATAGGCACATTTATAGTAATATTTGTTAGAGTTAGCCTAATCTGATCTGGATGAAACTTGCGTTCTTACCCACATAGAGGATAGTCTAGCTAAACAACAACTAATACAGGTCATTTTGTTTTTTTAATTCCACGCGGACGGAGTCGGGGGCGAAAGTTACTTGGTAATTTTCTTAAATTCCGGACAGAGTCGCGTGCGATAGCTATAATAACTTAGTATGACATTCCAGCGGGCAGCGCGGCCGTGGACGGCACGCAGGAGATGCTGGCGCTGGGCGCCTGCAACCTGCTGGCGTCCTTCGCGCAGAGCATGCCAGCCACTGGCTCCTTCACGCGCACCGCGCTCAACCACGCCAGCGGGGTGATGACCCCTGCCGGCGCGTTCTTCAAAGGTACTGGTGTAAACGCGAGATGTATAAAGGTTAGATTGTATACTACTACTGAATGTATCTCGATGGAAATTGCCAGATGTAGAGGACAGTCTGGAAGAACACATAGGCACTCAATTTTATTTTTTTTAATTCTACGCGGACGTAGTCGCAGGCGAAAGCTAATATTAATATTAGTGTGAAATAGGTGGATATTTGTTAGTTTTTATACTAAACTGCTGAATGAGTCTCGATGGAATTTGCCAGATGTAGATGATAATCCGAAAGAATACTTAGGCTTATTTTTTTAATTCTACGCGAACGGAGTTGCAGGTGAAAGCTAGTCCTTAACGCCAGTAATAATAAGCAAGTATTCCAGCGTGCGTGGTGCTGGCGGCGGTGACGCTGGCGTCGGGCGCGTTCGCGTGGATCCCGCGCGCCGCGCTGGCCGCCGTCATCCTGGTGGCCATGCTCTCCATCATCGACTTCTCCGTCGCCGCGCTGTGGCGCACCAGCAGTCAGTACACACATTACACATTACACAAATACACTACACATACTGAACATTTTTCACCGGTAACTTCTTTGAAAGGTACTATGTTAGTTGCCATCTTATGTCCTTGTATTGATGTTGAAAATATTTTACAAAATTATCTCTTATAAAATAAACTAAACAGTGTCACAAAATAAAATGTAAACATTCAAATATGATTTAGTGACATCTATTGACACGAATTGTAAATACAATCAATGAGGATCTGTTAATAGACAGTATCACCAAGAATGACGCTGACTGTACTTACACAAACTGCAAACAAGTAATCTTGCTATGGCCAAGTATTTATTGCACAAAGACATAATAACTAAGGGATAAGTGTAAGCGATGTTTAAGTGGCCGTAATGTATCTTAGCATGAAATCTATACTAATCGATTGTTTATGTGATCATGGAGTCATAGTGTCGTTAAGGGTCGGTTTCCACTGTTCAGAGAGCGAGGTGTGCGTGTGGGCGCTGACGCTGTGCACCGGCGCAGCTGCGGGCCTGGAGTACGGCATCGCGGCCGGCGCGTGCGCAGACGTGCTGCGCTCGCTGGCGCACGCCGCGCGCCCGCACATACTGCTGCAGCCCTGCAAGGTACACTAGTATACTGCTGGCGGAGTGTGCACACCACTAGGTATTACTTATTAGTATACTGCTGCAGTACAGACATTTTATTGCATCAAATTTAATACGTCCTTAATGTTCACATATACGTCGGAGTGATGAGTGGTATTATTTTGGTGGTGGTATTATTAGAGCTCGGAGCCTACCTTTAGCTAGTGACTAAGCTTTAGTCAATCACGTTGCACTGCGGGTTTTGGCCGACAAGTGACGACATCACGATAATTTCCTTCACCGTAAGAACAAATTATGTACATATAAAATACAAAAACCACATTGTTACAGCGGGATTCGCACCCAAGACGCACAGATAACAAATCAAGTGCTTAAACCCCTTAGTCACCGACGCTCTTTGCAATCGTTCAAAAATTAGTAATCATTTCACATCGTTATTTAAATTTTTAAGTCTACGGGGTTGTATCTAACCCCACGGCTGGCCTTACTAAGCTTACATATGAATGGAGCTTAGTATAGCGATGTGTCAGGTGGGGGCGGCGGCGAGCTCGCGCGCAGTGCTGCCGGCGCGGCTGCAGTACATGTGCGGCGCGCGCGCGGCGCGGCAGCTGCGGGGGAGCGCCGCGCAGCTGCTGCTGCTGGACGCCAAGCACCTCCTACACATCGACATTGGCGTCGCAGAGGTATATCTTACTTATATTATAAACGCGCACACAGAGATTAAACTATCGCACAACTGTTCGCTTTGATTCTGTTCAACTTGTTACCGACAGCGCGGCAGCCAAAAATACAAAACACTTTTTATCAAACTAACATATCTTTATTCAAAGTTATTTACACAAATATATACAAAAAAAACTCAATACTATCTGGATCACATCTTGACTTCTTATTCTTCTTTTTCTATATATTTCTTTATCCAACGATAAATGCCTTGGTGGCCAGTATGCAACCTCTTTGGCTGACATACTGCTTGTCAGCCAAAGAGGTTGTATTTTGCACTCAACAGATTCCTATGAGCTTATTTAGGTTACACTACTCGATTTTTACTTGTACAACTGAACAGTTGAATTTGCTGCGAAACAATTGACAATCAAACAACAGTTATGCGATAGTTTAGTCAAAGATGTTCGCACGCTCTTAATGTGAAAATTTTATGGATATTATTGTTGGAATATGAAATTTGACACAGAAATAAAACATAGTCTGGAAGAACATAAAACTACGAAGTTTTTTTTAATTCTGCGCGGTAAAAATCACTAAATTTCAAGAAGCGTAGGGTGTTTAAAAGTGTGGTGGTAGGTGGTGATGGTGTCGCTGGGGGCGAGCTGGTGATGGTGCAGATTTGAATGATGCGACCGTTATTCTTCAACCAATTTATTCACACCAAACATACTAAATCCACAACACTATATATAATAAAAAGAAGTAGAAGGAGAGTGCAACACGTTACAAGTAGAAGAAGATAAAAACACAATAATAATAAGCTAGGATATCAAGAGCGAAATTAACAGTGGTCAGCGCGGGCACAGTTTGAAAGCGACTGTTAATTAACCGCGCGCGCCGCTCGGTCAATGACCCCGGTCAGCTGTGCAGTCGCGAATTTAAATGCACCAATGACAGGTCACAAAAATACAAGCGTTGCACTATATTTCGACCACTCGTCGTGCACCGTGTTTATATGTGTGAGTGAATGTACGTGTGTTATGTAAGTGTATATGTGTGCTGTGTATGAATGTTAAGTGTACTTGTGGAGTGTTTTGGCAAAATGTATAAGGTTCCCTATAAAAGCTTTCACGTGTTTGATTCTGCATGTTTTTCAATGTTCTGAAACTTGTGTTGTTTGTTTTCAGGATATAATAACTGTGATATTAGAGTTAGAGCAGGAAGGGCGTAGGGTAGTGCTGTGGAACTTCGAGGCTAAACATCAGCAGCTGTTTGAGCAGATCAACCCCAATGTGAAGGGGAAGTTCTTCAACGGAATCAATATAGAACAATATTTATTAGGTAAGTTATATAAACAAAAAAAAATGAAAAAAATCTATAATTAAAAAAAAATGTATGAATTTGTGAAATGCGAATACAATAAAAAAAATTTTAGCAAAACAAAAAGTCTGTTTTTTTATTACTTACAAACCAGTATCAATAAACAAATTATATTTTTCCTGGGTTTTTTATTGCAAATGTTTTTTATTATGTAAAATGATTTTTCCTTTTTTTCAGAAGGAGAGGCTGGACGTACAAGTGTTAATTTTTAGAATTTTTTTTTTAAAATAACTTCGTATTAAGTGAATTATATAAATTGTTAAGTTTGATGAATGTATTTTTAATGTTGATTAAAGTTAAACTTTATACAATAAAAAGAATAATTAACATTATAGTTTTTTTTACTTTATGCCCAAAAAAAATTTAACCTGATTTTTACATAGCCGAAAAATTATGTGAATAATATAGAAATTAGTAATTCATACATAGGTTACATTTAAAGTTTTTTTTAATACCTATTTCAAATTCAAAGAAAACTAAAGGCAGTAACAATAAAAAGTAACCAAACGTAGCATGCGAACATTATTTTTTGTTATTTCCAGCAAATAACAGAGTTCCGAGCGTTTACTGCACCTTAATGTCATCTACGTGCTGAGGGTAGATGTAAAAATGCATTCCGTGCGATAAAACGTACAGCGAATATCACCGCACACGACATCAGGATAAGCCCCCGTGTTTATTTCCAACACGCGAGATACGGAATATCGCATGACTTATTTAAATGAACAAGTTAAGTCAGAATAGCTTGATAAGTGTTTACTTTTATGGGCGTCACAGCCATGTTATGCTTTTATAAAATATAGTCTTCATTACCTCTTATGTTTTCTTCCAATTTGCACAGAATACCTTACCGATATGGCCGTCGTCTCGTCGAGCTAATGCAACACCCTTATTTTTGACATCCGACTACTATTCGATTATTAACATAACAAGCACAATTACGACATTTTAAAACCATGACATAAATATTTTAAATAATATTTTGGATCACCATTACAAAGTTATATCGTTATTTCAAACTATGACCAATGACATTGATTTATAGCACAGACTAAACAACCTTCAAGAATACAGAATACATCAAAATAGTTAAAAAGCTAACACTTTACACTAGTTTAAGAAAACAATATTGAGTTGACTGTGTATTCTTCCAGACTATTCTCTACATTTATAACAAATTTTATCGAAATCCGTTTAGCGAACAAACTAACAGACATCCATCTCTTCACATTTATATTATTAGTACGTTTATACAGATTTACAGTTTCTATTTTTAATAGAGAGAAAAGGATGAAATCTCACTTACTAATACATGCGAAAGTTTGTATGGATGTTCGTTAGAGTTTGTAGTCTGCTTAACGGATTTTGACGAAATTTGGCATATATGTCTAGAAGAGCACATAGAGAACTTATACTTACTATTTTTTTAACTCCGCATCTCTCACTGGCCATGTCAATGTAAGTAGTGTTATTCCCATAGTCCATTTTGATCGAATTTAGTTTGTTATCGGTCGTTGCGTCCAACAGTTGCAAATAAATGCACAACATTCGGCGCAGCGGGAGTTTTTTTGATAGCAAATCCCATAAACTGGCCGCGTACTATTCCAATCAAAATTGAGCGGCGAATATCTAGTGGCTGTTTGGAAATACAAAAATGTGTAATATAGAAACTAGCTTTCGTGCTAGTACGTCTAGTACGTACGTAGGAATTAAAAAAAGCAAGTAGCCAATGTGTTCCTCCAGACTATCCTCTACATCTATGCCAAATTTCATCGAGATCTGTTCTCCCGACTATAAAAAACAATAGGATGACTCACGCTTAAAGTTAGAAGGGTAATCAGAGATCATGACGATGTTAGAGTTTGTAACCTAAACTGCTGAACGGATGTTGATGAAATTTTGCATTGGTATGGAGAACTCATACACTACTTCTGATCCTAAAAATAGTTACGGTTCCCTCAATTAAATTAGTTATTTTCGTGTTTTCGGTTCAACATATATTTTTGAAATTTGACCCATATTTAAAACGAAGTTTGGAGTACCACATGGGCTACGGTCTACGGTTCATCACCGAAAAATGTCAAGTTCCCGAAGGATAACTATAATAGTTTTTGTTTTTCGTGTGTGTGTTTTTTTTAATAATGCACGGCTGAAGTCGTAGGAAACAGCTAGATATAATTAATTGCTAGAATTAATTGCGTGGAGTAAAGTATACGATGGGTATCGCATTACAACGCTCACATCCGGAGAATGACGCGTCGCCGCCATTTTGTTTGCGTGGCGTCTGATTAACTGATGCCGAGGGACAGGGGGCGGGGGTAGTGATAGATGATCCTTGACGTCATTAGCTCGGCTTTTACCACTAAGGAATCGACATATCTCATGTAAATGCTATTTTTTAATTTTTTTTTGGCAATGTACATGTTCATAGGAATAGGCATTGCTTCAGAAAAACATTATCTGTGGCAAATAGCATTTTAATTAATAAAAACGGAACAAATGTATAGAATATATGAAACACATTTTGTGGCATCGCGACTTATTGTACCATAGTTGTTTGCAGAAATAAATTGTTGTCGAACGCAAACTGTTTGCCAAATTACTGTTGCAAATTTCTGGCACAATATTGTAGAATTGCAATACAATATTTATGTTTAACTAGCTTTTGCCCGCGACATTATCCACGCGGAATTACAAACAGTAAGTAACCTATGTTTTCTTCCAGATTATATTCTATACCTGTGCTAAATTTCATCGAGATGAGTAAAGCCCTTAAGGAGATGCCTTCTAATAAACATCCATCCATCCATCTAGTTTAGATCGTGTCCGTATATTTTATATGCGTTTTATTAATCCACTTTTTTTTGCATTTAGTATACGGAGAAATATATGGTTACAGTGTACTTTTTGATGTGATATTTTTGTTATTAAAATGTAATGTACAGTAAATTACTTTGGCTAAACTCATGGCCTGTTTCCCAGCTAAGTTTAACTATTTGGTAGTTTTTGTTATGAGTTTTACTTCCTTGAAACTTATGACAACCTAACACTAATCAATAATGTAATGGAAAAATAAGTGGTAACTTCAGAAACCTAGAATTAGAGCTAAATTCTAAATCGTACTCAATCTATGGACTATCTCATGAATATTTGCGGAGTATCGTAGAGCTCTAAGATGTCTGAACATGAATCATAAGACAGCGGCGTGCCAACGTGACGTCAGAGGGGCGATAAATCCCGCCGAAGCCCGCGGCCGTGATACACGACCTGTGAACTCTTCCAAACTTGTCCGATGTAACTTTACATAGAGCGGAATTAATGGTGACGTTTATGAACTTTAGAGATCTTAAAACTGTTATAGATGTTATTAAAAAGAAAAGTTAAGTAAATAAGATTAAAATATTTAAATTTGAGTCTTAAAGTAGTTAAATAGTTTTATAATCTATTACGATAAAAATATGGATTAAATCCTACTTGTTTTAAACGGGCGTGAAGTGGAACCAATTCTGCGTTTCGTCTGATGAGTGTGGTGCCGGAGGCCTAATTGGAAAAGGAAAGGGACTAACCCTTTCCATTACCACCCTTTTCTTAAGAGGAAAGGATGGGAAGGAAAAGTGGATTTGACAGTGGAGGAGACGCATTGGAAGGGGAAATGTCCTCTTATGTGCGTCTCCTCCTCCGTCTATTAAGGGTAGGTAACGCATCTGCAATTTCGGATGTTTATGGGCAGCGGTCGCTTTCTATTCCAGTGGATTCAGGTGGCCGCTTGCTCGTTTGCTATCTTATATTATAAAAAAGACACTTTGAGATCTTTTTTTAATTTTATTCACTCACTGATAAACATAAAAAAGTGTGATCTGTCTTTTTATTTTATTAAAATAATGTAAGTTTGTATATTCGGATAATTTTAACCAATTACTTTGTTCAATTCAGTTATATTCGTTTACGAAATTGAATGGACGCTTAAAATAATTGATTTAATACGTGCCTTGTCAGTCGAGCTTTTAAAATTATTGCGTAATGTAATAATCTTTGTATTATCTTTTAATTGGTATAATAATTTATACGTTTAACGTAGAATACAATATTATAAATGATACAGTAAATATGCAAAAAGCGTCTTTGCGATGCTTTTAAGGTTTCGAAAGTTACAATTGAAACTTAAAAAGTACTAAATAAATCGAGTTTTACTATTAACTTAGTTACATTTACTGAACTTTTAATAGAATTACATCTTTAAGAGACTTTAAGGAAATCTTTAAATTCGTTTTTAATAATATATTACAACGTCTAAGCAACATAATTATCTAGAACGGCATAGCGGGGCTTAGCCGCTCTGAGCTTGGATTAGGCACATCACAGACCTCTTATCTTTTGAAGCAGAAATATGGTCGTTATAAATTCTGGTTAAATTCATTTTATATCGGCTAAATTGAATCACTGCGAAGGATAAAATTATCCACATAATTACTCTTATACCTTTACCGCATTGAAAAAGAAACATTTCTCTAACTTTAACGTTAACTAGCTGTTTCCGTGTAGCTTCATATAAGAAAATATAAAAACTTGTTTATTGTTTACATTTGTTAAATTATCAAATGTCAAAATGATTGTTACCATATCTTGTTCCTTAATGTTGACAGCTTGTAGTTTATAGTCCCTTTCCCACATGATGGCTTTTTCCAATTCATTTATCTCCTAAGTTTAATAGTATGAAAACATATAGCCTAAAGCGTGTCGTAAGTGTAGGGCTTTTTATTAAAGAAAGAAGTATTAAAAATATACTGTGATTGCTGACATCCTACACCAAGAAGTAGTGTGTGTTTATACTTTATTATATTAGTAAAGATATCGATTAGATGGTTTATTAACTAATAGCTAAAGATATCCCGAATTATTATGAATTTATTATAAATCGTTACGCGTTTGAATGTTTGTCAGAGCGTAGCTTGCGGTTACGATCGCATCTGCTACGCCGTAGAACCTTAACCGCTTCAAATCGTCGAATTGTTAACGAATGAATTTTCACTGCGATATTCGACATTTCTATGAACAGATCGGATCAAAATGTTTATGACCATTTTATTAAATCGGTTACATTGAAGTGTTTCAACAATGTCTAAATCAGTGTAATTCTTTAGTATTAAAAAACTTAATAGTATCAAGAATGTCTTAGTCTTTGTCGTAGATGCGACAAAAAAGTTTACTCTATTGAAGCTTTTTGTAAGAAATGTATCAAGTAAATTAAATCTTTGCTACCTGATTAGAGAACCTCATCCGCGAATAGTGTTCAGATATTGATACACCTCACACCTCCAGCCTCAGACC